TTATCAAATACTAACACAAAATCATGTTAGAATGATAAAATAAAAATTATGAGATGATTTCATATTATCAATGTGTGTGACCTAGCTAGGTCATGGAATAAACTTAGCTATTATCTCATCATAAAGAAAATGACTTTCACACATAAATATCTTCTAAATATTCTATTTGTGTGTGACCTTTAAGCCTTTAAACCTTAAACCCTAACTTAAAACCCTCAATTTAGGGTTTTAAGTTAGGGGTAGGTATATAATGATGCAATTGAATAACTTCGAGGGTTAAATTGATACGAAAATACGATAGGACCGAAAATAATAAATTATAAAAGTCCATCGAACACTCTATTCATTTATATCCCTATCTGTCAACCAAATAAAAGAAAGATAAACGAAAAGAACCCTAGCTTGATAATTGAAATATATATATAATATATAAAAAGATAGGATCCGTTCATACTTAATACAAAACAAAAAAAATAAATTTTACATTTTTTATCAATGGATAAATAAATATAAATGATTAAAATTAATTTTAAGAAATAAATATATTTTTACAAATATAAGTAATTTAATTTTAATCATTAAATTCAACTAGTCTAATAATCTAGAAATATATATAAAACTAAAAGAATTTATAATGTGGAAGTGAATCTTATCCTAGATATGAATATTTATAATTCTTTTTCTAAGCCGAATATTTGTCAGGTAGGTTATATAGATCAGCAATAAATTAACATGACTATTTAGTTTATTAAATTATATAATAAATAAAAATGGTTAAAAAGAGTAACATGGACCCATATATTTCAACTCTTATCAAACAATTATTGAGCATTCATACCTATTAATGTTATAATGATAATTATAGCTCTCTAATTATATTATTACTCAATAATACAATTTAATATTACTTTTTTAAAAAACTATTTTCTCTCCAAATTTAATTTAATTTAATATATATTTTATGTATCCTATTTTAAGCAAAGGGGAAGCTTTGAAATTTAGCACAGTAATAACGTAGTGGCCAATTTTTAGTTGAACTGTGTAAATATAATCCACATTGCATGCTTTTAATTGCATATCAAAATTCTTCATCTTTTATAATTTTAAAAAAATTATTTGAATCACATTTCTCGAGATCATGCATTTAATCATAGTTCAAATTTAAAAATCGAACTAATAAGAAAGAAGATTAAAAATGTAATAAAAAGTGAGAAATTTAATCATATTCAATATATTATTAAAAATGTTCATAATCATCATCAATAATAATAATAATAATAAAGTTGTACAAATTACAACAAGGATTTCAATGCTGTATCTTAAAAAGCAAAATATTTTGTCAAATATCCATGTTTTATTATTAATTTTCGTTTTCTACGGCGAGTTTCCATCTCTCCTCGTATATATATATATATATATATATATAATATGTAACTGTATATTATAAAATTTACCTATGGCCTCAAGAGATGTAATTTTTGGCAGCTACATGTTACACTTAAAGAAACAATTAGGCCCAACTCATCTAATCTCTTTCCTAATAAACCAAAACCCCAATCTTTTATCCCAAGCTACCGGAAAATTTCGATATATTTTATGTAGATGGTGTATCAATCGAATACCGCTACATGAAAATCGAATTACGAGTACCAATTCAACCCCTGAAGTTGATATGAAGGACGAAAAATCTCGTCTCCGATCGCCCCCAACATTGCTTCTTGTTGTTGTTGTTGTTGGGTTGGCGGTAGCTGACTAAGTAGAGTGGCGATAGAACCATTCTCGTCTGTTTTTTCCAAGCTTCCATCTTCATTACTATCCTCTTGGAATCGCTTGCTCATTGAAGGCCTCATGGTTTCGTCTTCGGTCCAGTAAAGTGACGGGAGGGTCCATTTTAGAGGGCTAACCATAGATAAGTCTCCATTCAAAGCTTGAACATCCCAATTGATGAGAAATAGAACCATTGTTAATCCTATTCGTACCCCCCCCCCACCATTCCATCAAACAGGCTATGTTCTTGAGCTTCAAGCAATGTGCTGAAACTTGTTCCACTTGTCTATAACTGAAATTTTGCGTTGTGATGGCTGCCGATCAATACCGAAGGCGGTACGGTTCGGAGCATGTTGTCCAAAGAATCATCTTTATCATGTTCTAGAAGTCTATTCGTGTTGTTCTTCTTGTAGATTCTACATAACACCCAATTATCAAACTACAAAGAAGAAAAAGAAGTTTACGAACAATCAATTTCTGATATCATATAACAACAAAATGAATAAAATCTGAAAAAAAATCCAATAAATATGTGTATATTTTTCATGTTTGAGTTTTTTTATAGACATAATCCCTAAAATTCTCTTTGATGAGTTACATTGTTAAAATTGTATTTTTTTTTATTTCAATAAATCCAGTATCATTTCAAGTTAAAAAAAAATCCGTAAATATGACCATTATTAAAAAAATATGTTCAAAATAAATTAACAATTATGTTTTATAACTTTACATTTGATCTCTTCCTTTCCATCAATGTTTCATTAGTCATATCAACCACAACGAAAAGAAAAGAAAAAGTTTTTCCCTCCATTATTTTTTTCCTTTTTCTCTTTGTAAGATAGTAAGATTTGTCAGCATAGAGTGTCGATATGGTTCGATTCAATTTGTCTACCATTCCGAAAAGGATGCGTATGTGTTCCCTTCTTTTAACCACATAGAAAGAGAATTTACCATCGAAGTTTGTGATTGAGGAGACAGGTGCACATAAAAAGCTAAGCATTTTAATAAACAAGTCAATTGAAACGATGATATGTTGTATAATTCCTATTACACTTTCAATTGTGTCCATTAGGACCATCAATTTGGTTTTGTCATCCCGTTCGTTTTTCATATATTATAAAAAATGTAAAAGAAAAAATGTTAATATTTAATAATTAAATATAAATAAAAAAATCAACTTGCATTCATAGTATAAATAACACTAATCGAAGCCCATCGATGTACCACCTTTGTACTATGCCGTCCAAAATATTTAGGGGCCATGATGTTTTTCTCCAAAATGGCCCAAATTATATTAAAATCATTATTGATATTAAAAAAACATAACCTGACTTATTTATTAATTGATTTAACGAAAAAAATATTTATTTTTTAATTAAAGTTCAAGATTTAAATTAATATTGTAAATAGAATAAATTATATTAAAAAATTTGAGGTAAGTTGAAAAAAATAAAGAATTTGAAGTTGTTGTGTTTGGGTAGAAAATGAGTGTGTCGTGATCTCGTGGGAGGCTGGTGAGACGTGCGGTTAGAGAAGAGCTTAAAGACGACTGATGAATGCTATGATTAAATAACTAAAATCTTCTTTTTGGGTTAGGGTTTAAGTTGGTTCGAGTGAGAGTTTTTTTAGGTCAGATTTGGTTTAATGTGACTAGTGATAGGTTTAGATAAAATTAGATATTTATAGTCATATTTAATAAATAGGGTGTATGCATAAATTAAGTGACTTCGTTGATTAAAAATATAATTATTATCAATGATAATTATGAGTTCGAACACAATATTTATAGGAGATATTTAAACATTTATTATTAAATGATTGAAAATATCTCAAACGTATAATATTTTTGTAACTTTGGAACTTTGTATTGAACATTTATTAATGCATATCTTCAACACTATTTTGTATTGAATTCTTCTTTTACGTCGAATTTCTGGCAATTTGATCCTATCCTCCAACAAATTAAATCACGTGACCCCTGGATGGAATAAGAGACAGCTAAAGGAAATCGTCTTTATGAATTTTTTAAATTCTATTTTATTTTAAATATATATATATATATATATATATATATATATATATATTATTGATAATTTATTCTCTTCCTCTAAAATTTTATAATTTTATTCGCCTCTAAAATTTTATAAATTCTTTCATAATATAAAATCATACGTAAATTTTTAATATAATCCACCACTATTATAAAATATTTAAGTAACTTTGATTTCTTATTTTTTTATAATAAAATTTTTCTTCTTATAATTTAATCTTTTAATTTTTTAATGTAATTTAATCTTTTAATTATGATTCTTTGCAAACTTTTTCCTATCAATTTCTTAATTTATTTATATTCTCATCAATACTTCATTTTTATGTGAAAAAATATGAATATATATAAGTACACAAATAGTCTATCGATTATAAGATATTACTTTGTTGAGTCATTTGACTATTAAAAGTTATAAAATGATCTCCCGACTATATGGTGTTGCTTTATTGAATTCTTTAACTATTAAAAGTTACAAAATGATCACTCGACTATTCATATGTTTCAAACTCATCATTTTCAGTTAAAAAAATGACAGTCTTCTGAGTAAAAGTTACAAATGATAACTTTTAATAGATTGACTCTTCGTTTACATTATTTTATCGAGCCAATACTTGAAACATTATAATGTCGAGTCAATACCTGAAAGCAATAGTGGTACCTATAAACATCATTAAAAAAAAATATGATTTTATCATATTTCAATCAGCAAGTTAACGTCCAACTCAAATGACCGTCAATTTTAAATAGAAAACGACGAATTTGGAATATATAAATAGTTGATTGAGCATTTTGTAATTTTTAATAATCGATATCTTAACAAAACAACCCTTTATTATAGTTATTGGATTGTTTTATAATTTTTAATAGTCGAAAAGCTAAAAAAACAACATATAGAGGACCATTAGTAAACTTTACCCATATATATATATATATATATATATATATATATATATATATATATATATATATATATATATATATATGATTAAAAAATTATTTAATTTGAAACGAATCAATTTCATAATATAAATATAATTTTGAAAGAAGTGAATTCCAAATGGAATGGTTTGTAATTGTGAGGAATCACTTTCTAGTTTAACTTTCGGGAAAACTGAATCCCACGAATGTGCTTTTAACAGAAAAACAGAGCAAAATTTCGAAATTCAGCTATTCTTTTTGAAACTCTCTTGGTCCGAAAGGTTAGCCCCAAAATATTTACACAAATTTCTGAAATTCCTTTCCTGTCCTCCTACCTATTTCTTTTTCCTAATATATTTATTGTCTTAAGCCCAAAACCGCCCGTCCATCGAGCTAGAGAAGTTGTTGCGAGTGTTCAACACATTCGAGTTTTGTTGAAAAATCCCCGAGTCATCTTCAGCTCGCTGAGTTCTGAGTCCACTCTGTACTTCCTCTTCCAACGAGTTCCCAACCTCATTCGTCGACATGTCCATCGGACGTAGTGTAGGCGTCGTTGTGGGGACATACAAGTTACTATTTCCATAATTCGTAATCACCTGACTCTGAGTTTGAGTTTGTCCACTAGGCACCAACTCGGGCACCGAGTTAAGCCCACCGAGATTCGCCCAATCAAAACTCCCGATACCCAAATTGTGAATCCCGGTCTTCTCACCATTTTGAAGCGTCTTCAACGAGTTCATCCGCGGCAAACCGAAGAAACGACCGTCCAACTCGGGCAATGACTCAAGCATGTCGTCGAGTTGGGAAGAACACGACGACGACGACCCATTTGTGCTTTGCTCCTTGCTTGAAACGCTCGAAAATGATTTTTGACCACTCGAATTCTTCTTGTATATTCGACACAAAACCCAATCATCCAACTAAAAAATACCCAAAAAAAATCAATCAATCAATAAACAAACAATTATTGTTCTAAAATAATAATTCAAGCTTATGTATATACCTTGGAACTACCATTTTTACGAGAAGTTTCTAGGAGTCGATATTCGTGCATTATCCAATTTGTTTTAGCTCCTTTCGGAGCTTTCCCAACGTAAAAAACCAGAGATTTCTTTATACCAACTTTACGACCTTCACTGGTAATAATTTTATCAGTTCCGGTAGCTTTCCAGTACCCCGAACCGGCAACTCTGTTGGGCCGTGACCCGTTTGGGTATTTCCGGTCTCTCGGACTGAAAAAGTACCATTCTTTTTCACCAAACAAAGCTTTACCTGTTAAAAAAAGTCATTAGCAAAGGAATCAACAATTAACACAAAAGAGAGAAAGAAAACTCTTTTTTGTTGTTGCTGGATTTGATTAACTTACTTGGTAAAACCCATGGATCGAATTTGTATAAATCGATTTCACCGATGATTTGCAGAGAAAAATGATGGCCTGCAACTTGCCTGCATAAATATTGCACTAGAAGCTCTTCATCAGTCGGGTAAAACCGAAACCCTGGCGGCAAGCTCAATTGAGCCAAAGGATCTGTTTCTGAGGCTCCCATGATTTTCAAAAAAAATTTCTCGAAAACCAAACAAAGAAAAGAAAGCTAGTAGTTCTATCTACAAGATAAAATAGAACGGTGAAAATAAAGGTTATCTTTTTTTTTCCTTTGGTAGGGGAGGTATTTAAATAGGAGAGAGAGTAAATAGTGATAACAGAAGGACGGTCGTTCTTGTCGAACTTTTGTGTAAGTGGGACCTACTTTGTGTTTATCACCGTCCAAAATCGCCGCGTGCTGGACATCTAAGGCTGACCTTATCCGACCAAAGAATCGTCACGAAAATCCACGAAAATATGTCATAAAATGTTTTAGGACACGTGTCTATCTTCTGTGCTTTTTTCTAGAATCCGCTACATTTCCACGTATAGGTTTCATTAACCCCATCGCGATATTTATTATAAATTAATTAACGATGTTAATAAAGATTTACACTGCTAAATAAACATTATATTTATGATAAAGACACAATTTATGGAGTCGAATCGCCACGGATATGCAAAACCGATTCTCTTTCACATCTAATTTCCCTTTCCTCTCGTGTCCCTTTCGAAGTCTTTGTTAGCGTGGAGGCTTCTAGTTTAATTAAGGGTAAACTACTGATTTAGTCATTTTCGTTTGAATTTTATAAACTTATGGTCACTAAATTCAAAAATCATAAGTTTTGGTCACTTACATTATCATTTTATTAAGATTTGGTCACTGAGACATTAGCTTTTATGAATTGGATGACGTGACACGTTTGTAAAAAGGTTTAATTTTTATTTTAACCCTTGAAGTTTAGGTAAATTGCTAATCATGGGTATTTTTGTAAATTCAAAATAATTTAGAGATAAAATAACAATTTACCCCTTTTTTCCAAATGTTTTTCTTCTCCAGCCTCATCTTTTTTGCCAAAAAGGGTTTAGAGATGAAGAGGGAAAGCGGCGTAGAAGATGGGGTATGGAAAGAAAACACGGGAAAAAAGGTATAATTTGATATTTTATCCCTAAACTATTTTAAATTTATAAAAGGACCTATGATTAGTAATTTATATAAAGTTCACTGGTTAAAATAAAAATTAAACCTTTTTTATTAATAAGTCATGTCATCCAACTCATGTCAGCTAACGTTTCAGTAGCCAAATCTTAATAAAATGATAACGTAAGTGACTAAAACTTATGTTTTGTGAAACTAGTGATCATATGTTTATAAAACTAAAATCAAAGTGGTCAATTTTATAGTTTACCCTTTAATTAAAGGAATTTAAAATAATTAAATAAATAAAGATGTGAATGAACAAAAGGTCACCCGTAAAGTATATATATCTCGCGATACAAATAGTGACATGTGGTGTACAAGAAAATTATATCAAGACCAGAAAAATATATTTTATAAGTAAGAATATGTTTGATAAAATAAAATGATTAAGCGCTGAATGATTCAATGACTTTAATGTTTCAAAGGTTCTGACTCTGAATGTGACATGTTGTTTGATAATGATTATAAATGTTCAATCTAAATTATGAATATTTTCATTTTTACCTTCATAATGATTTATTATATTATAAGATATGATTGTTTAATAGGACAACATGTGAAAAAATATGTATTGTGGTAAAATATCGGATGCTTAATGATTCAGAATGTACTTTAATGTTGAATCATTCAATAGTGTTTTGTTGTTTCATTCAGCATAGTCTTCATTCAGATATGAGAATCAAACACGTTGAATGCTGAACGATTCAGCGTTCAGCGCTGAATGATTCCATTTAGCAGTAAACAAACAGCCCCTAAGTTTTAATCGATATCACCTATTTTATGTAGAATTTAAAATTATATGTTATAAATCTTAAAGTTTTAAATTTAAAAACTAAAATATCGAATCATTTATATATATCAAATGGTATTTAAATAATATATTTTATTGTCAGTGCACAAAATGAAAACACATGTCATATAAGATAAGGATCAAAAGGGAAAGATCGGTCCATACTTTTTCATTAGAAAATTTCAAAATTATAAAAGTATTATCAATAGTTTTCTTTCAAAACAATATTGATGGGTCAATTTCAGCATGAAGGAAGGTTGGTATGAAGATGTAGGTAAATTATTGGATTGAAAATCATTGGTAGAAGATTATAGCAGCAGCTGTCATATAGTTTGAGGTTCTTGGACACCTAATTTTTTCTATATATATATATTTTTAATAGTCATTGGGATGATTTTTTGGGGGTGTTATAATTTTAAAGTTATTTAAATATAATTATTTTAAATTAAATTTTAAAAAATTATGAATAATTTAATTATTATATTTTTCTAAATTTAATAAAGAAAGGCAAGAAATAAAAAGATGTTGAATGAGAAAATAATTAGTGTATAAATTGATTTTTTCTCTAAGCAGTTGATATGTGAGTTTGACAAAAATATGTTGAATGAAGAAAATTATACAGAGAAAATCAGCGAGTGGGAAAATATAAGCAGATTTAGCAATACAATTTTGACAATATATATATATATATATATTCAAAACCTTAAAAAATAACATCACATGTTGAATATGAACTTAAATTGATATCTTATTTACAACTGAATTAATATTCCGTTTATATTAAATACCACTAATATAATTTATAAGTCTGATTTCATTAATAATTTCTCACAATTTAAATATCTAGTAAGTATTAGCTGCAGCTCTAGAGGAGTTTAAAATCTTAATGTTACAAAGTGAGAAAAAAGCAGAATAAGTATGAAATCAAAACGGGGAGTCTTGTGGATTAAATGTTGAGTTAATTGTCAATTTGAATTTGAATGTTGAATAAGGTATGAAATTCAACAAATTTTTGTTCATGTGAAAAATGCATCAATTAGGGTTTCAAAATTATCTTCTCAAATTTCAATGTTCAAGCCTACTACTGCTCCTAGTCCTGTGGTCCCAGTCCACTGATTATTCACTTAATTATATAAATATACATATATTGTATAAAAATATGTAAATATATTGGAAAAACGGAGCATTCTTTTTTGTTGCCACTATGTGATGAACTAAGTAAATCACATCGTTAGTCACCAGTATATTATTTATATTTATATTTTATCTTAGTCATTAGACGAACTTTTTAGTAAAATCGTCACTAATTATATATATATATGTTTTTTTAATTATAAACTGTTAAAATTTAACAACGATATTGATATGATGTTTTTTATGATTCTTTTTCTAATTTTTTACATTATATTTTCTCTCATTATCATCGAACTATGTGTTACTTTTAAATATTTTATTTAATCAATATGATAATAACACATCCTACTCCATAAATTTTTATGATTTTTCTTCAATAAGACAGTGATACAATATTGACTGACGGTGTAGTTGATCCCCATGTGTATATAAAATTGGGTAGAAAATAAGGGAAATGAGAAAGGTGTAGCCGCCTTATGACATAAATCCCAAATTTTGGGTGGCTGCTGCCACATGTTATTACATAAATAAATTGCTGACAAAGAGAACGGAATCACTGATTAGAAAGACTGATATTTCATTTGCCGCAATCTCTTCTTTCATCATCTTTCAACTCAGGCTTTTCAGATTTGACAACAATGGCATCTAATTAGGACTTTGTTAGTAGATATTTACTAAGATAATATTATTGAAAAAACCCTGACTTTATCTTTTTAATTTGAAGTAATGATTTAAGCATAAAAGTTTGAAATAATATTTAATTAATAATTAAATTTTACATTTATGCATAAATCAAATTATCTAACACTCTTATTGTGGTTGAATTTAGGATACACAATTCCCTAATCCTTATAATACAAAAGTCACTTAATGGAAAAAAAGAATAAAAAAATATATAATTTAATTAATACAATCCTTTGGTTGTATGAAATAAAGGAATGAGATTAGGCTACTTCCCCAATTTTGGGGTCACTCCAATTCTCATGAGGGCCAAATAAGCAATGAGCCTGTAGATTCCAAGCATGAGAACCAGGGCAACAGCTGATATGACTTGACCGTCAAGCCCAACACTGTTTATAGCCGGAAAATCTCTGACTAAGCAAACCTTTGCCGGCTCACCACAAAGGTAAGTGTCATCTGCTCGGTATTGAGAGCCCAAGAAGAGCTTATACGTGTAATGGCTAAGCGAGATGTATTTGATCCACGATATGAAATCCGGAATATGTTGAACGTAGTAGCCACCGGCGAGTAAGAACGCAAGCATGATGACTGAACCGAGAACGGCCGCTGTCTTTTGGTCCATCACCAAGGCACCGATGGCGAGCCCCAACCCTTGTGAGACTAGTACACATAAAAGGAGTGCCAACAAGGTGTGCAGGAAATTGCCAGCTGTGGGTTTAAGCCCTGTCATCCAATATGATATTGTGATGAAAACTGTGGGAAGAATAAGCTCCATGGGGAGATCGGATACGATTCTCGACATGAAGTACGAAGATAGCCGATACATTCCTGAGGACCGTTCTTTCTCGAGCATTAAATGTTCTTGGGGGAAGGTGAAAATCGCTTGGTACAGAGGGAACATACCCCAGAATCCTGATATAAAGAAGAGGAATCCAATCTGGTATTGCAAGTGAGCAATACCGGACTGCCACCATAAAAGTCCTAAAAGGACCGCTACGGCAAGGCCCTCGGCAGTGTTGAATATAGAGAATGATTCGTGTTTCCTTTCCTTAAGTCCCCTTTGAAGTAATACGGTGAACTGTTGCCACCAAGTCGTCGGCCACCTTCCGAACGTCTTGTGTTCGTTTTGATTGTGATGACGATCGCAGTTCTCGTTAAGCTCTTCCCTTAGTTTCTCGGCAATGTTGGTCTTGTATGCTGAAACCAGTGTTTTCTTCACCAAGTTTTGCTCCTTGAGTGACTCATTTGATGATGTAACACCTATATAAACATTACAATTTACAAGATTCAGTATGCAAAATTTAACCTCTACAAGATCAATATGCACAAGTGAGATTAAAGCTTACCATTTGAAAGATCCAATAGAAAATCGGAAGGATTCATGGCGACTGATGGGG